ACCTGCCGATGGGGGTGGCCAATGACACGAAAGCTGTTGGTGATGATCTTTAAGGGGCCCTTGGAGATAGAGCACCCCTTTGCCTGTTCCTTTGTGTTTGCTGCCTGGAAGGGGCCTTAATGGCCTGGTGGGAGCCATGTGCTTGGGACAGAGGAGTGGAGAGATGGCAGGAATCTGGATCCTTGATGACTGTGGAGTTTCCATTCCAGCCCAGAACTGCTTCCTTCCAGACATTTTTATGTGAGAGAAAAGTTTTGCTTGGTTAGCCCTGGCTGGGTAACTTGGTAGTTTGGACTGTTATACGGTACACCGAGAAGTTGCAGGTTTGATTTCCGGTCAGGGCACTTACCTAGGTTTCGGGTTTGATTCCCGGTCAGGGCTTGTAACGGAAGCAATGTTAAAACAATGTTATTTAGGGTTTTCTATTACATGCAGCTGCATCCACATTTGAACTGGGTTTTGAAGGATTTAGACCAGTGGTTCTCAACTTTGGCTGCACATTAGAATCACCTGGGAATCTTTTTAAAATCCTGATTTCTGGGCCTCATCCTCCGGAAATTCTGTTTCTTTGTTACTAATGTTGTGGTCCCACCCCATAACAAAGAAACAGAATTTCCGGAGGATGAGGCCCAGAAATCAGTATTTTAAAAAGATTCCCGGGTGATTCTAATGTGGAGCCAAGGTTGAGAACCACTGGTTTAGACAGAAAAGGGGCCTTACAGGTGAAGGAATTGGAGTGAAAAAAGGTGCAGAAATGTGACAGGAATAACATATGGTTTGATAAGATCCAGAGGAGAAGTGTCACACAATGTCTGCAGGAAGAGCTCTAGGGAAAAAAGTACACACACACACACACACACACACACATACACACACACACACAAGTGGAGGCCAAACGCTCACCTTTCTTGCCCATTTCATTTTGTTGGTCACACTTAGGTGAACACTGACCTTTCATTTTTCTCACTGAGAAATTGGTCTCTGAGTCAGTATATTTTCCCCCCTTTTTGTATTTCTCAAGGTCACTGTCACAGTATGATGTATGAAATGTGGGTCTGAGATCACATGGAAGTTGCCTTCCATGAAAATCGTTGACGTATACTGTGCCATCCCCAGTTTTCCCACAAAGCCCCGGCCGTCCACTCGTCTTTACAGGCTGCCCGAGCTTTAGGTCAGGACCAACCGGGTGGAATGTCCTTGCAGAAGGGAGGTGTTGGAAGAGAGAATGGTTTGGGGAATGAGCCTGGGGAGGCACATTGAGGAGAGGGGCATAGGCACCGGCTCACCTCTATTTTCTGCTGCGGGAAGCCGGTATCTGGAGGAGGGGCAGATTAAACCACTTGAGTGATTCTGATTATTTTGGCGTCATGTTCATAAGCACTTTAATGGCCAATCAGATAATACTATTCCTTTATAAATTGAATTAGATATTCCTTTAAAATAATTCTAGAAATAAAAATGTCTTCTATTGCAGTCGTTCTTGAACTTAATGGGATCACAAACCCCTGAGAGAATTTAACCCCAGAACTCCAAACTCTCTCCCCTGCAAATGAACCTATTTTGTGTAATGATTCAGAGAAATGGTCATTTTTAGGAGCTATAAATATTCATTAAAAGGAGAGATTTATCTTTGTTGCAAAAGGTGTCAAAACTGAAGTTTTAACTAAAACTCCAAAATATAATAGATGTGAAATTCCCAAGGCAAGATCACCACTTGCAGACTTTTAAAAAAACGTATTGAGTTGAAAAAGAGGGAGAGAGAGAGATGTCAATTTGTTGTTCCACCTATTTATGCATTCATTAGTTGATTCTTGTATGTGCCCTGACTGGGGATCAAACCTGCAACCCTGGCGTATCAGGACGATGCTCTAACCAACTGAGCTACCCAGCCAGGGCTATTTGCAGACTTTTTGAAGGAAGTGGTTCTCCTAGTTCTCAATTCTCTCACCTACTTGGAGGCTATTAAAGGATAGGATTGGGGCTTATGGGGAGATTTCTTTGGAGAGCATGTTACCTTGCTGTTAATGCCCCTTACCTATGCTCTGATGTCCCTTCACCAGGGAGGGGCTTCCGTAGGACTAGGAAACATGCTCCATGTGGTTAAGAGAAGCAAAGAACTGGTGCCCAACTCCAGGCCAAAAAACTGAAGCGTCTGGGGGAGGCAGAGTAGAGGAGGGCCTCCAATGTGGAGGGTGAGCCGATAGAGGGTGATTCCTGCTGTAGAGGACCCCAGAGAAAAATGGGCATGAGTGGAGTGGGTGCCTGTGTCCCAGGGTGAGGGCTGAGGCCAGCCTGGAGACTGAAAGGTATCATGGGAAACAGAAGACTTGCCGGGAGGGGGGCCCGCAATGGTGGGCGGTACCATCCTCTGGGTCCCAGGAGTGAATCTGGCTCTTTGTTTATTTGTGTAGCCGGATGTTGCATGATACTTTCTCTGCTGCTCAAATCTGGAGGTGCAAAGGTCCTAAATACTATGGAAATGGCAGGAAGCAGTCTTACTCATCGGCCCCTGCTCCCCTAAGCAGGGCAAAGAGAATTGGAGACACATAGGAGCAGCAGAATGGCAGTTGTGGGGCAGCCTGCAGTTCTGCCCTGGGCATGGCAAGTGGTGTCTGCATTTTCTGTGGACCAAGTGGATGCTGAGAAGGTGAGAGGCCTGAGCCCTTCTTGGGCAATAAATGGGCCTGGGAGTCCAGGTGAGATGGGGGTGGCCGGAGAGATCAGGGAGCATGCAGGTCTCTCAGGTCAGCGTGAAGGTCCCTGTTGTGCTTCCCAAGAACTCCCGCGCAGAAGCAGCACTATTATGTAGAGAGGATAGAGGGCTGCTCTTGATTCCCACACGCACATCCTCCTTTACCCGTCCCAACACCCTGGAGAAGTAGGAGGTTGTTTTCCAGGCTCTACCACGTCCTCTCTCACCACCTACCTCTGAGGTGAGAAAGGGGAGGAAGAGAGAGCGGAGAGATGCTCCTTGCCTCTGCTGGTGCTTCCAGCAGCCAGCCCAGCCTGCGATGGGGAGGGGAAGCTGTGCTTCAGATCCAAGGTTGCGTCTTTAACTGGACTTGATGGCGTTTTTAAATACCAAGAAGTGACTAAAGAAGTTATAGAGTTTGTCCACAGCATCATTAAGGGATCGCTACCCAGCAGGGAAAGGAGATCCAACATGGCCCAGCCAGAGCAGGATGGATGAAAAATAACACCATTTCTGGTTTGCACCCTATGGAGTTGAATAAATAATTTATATCTGATTAAGGGCTTCATATTCCTATGACTAAAGTCAGATAATTGCATTAGGATTGTGGCATACTGTGCTCATCAATTGTTAGTGTAAGAGTGACCAGATTTTTTTCTGCAAATTAAATACTTGAAACATTAAATGAGGAGGAAAGAGATCCTAGTTGTGTTGCGCTTGAAAGGAGTGATTGGTAATGGGCACTCAGACTCACAAACTTAACATTGACTCTTCCCTCCCCCATCACGGCCCCGCTCCCAACGTGTGATGAGTTGGCGAATTCTACCTCTGTGTGATATCTCAGAACCTCAGCAGGAACACCAGCGGTTTTCCTTTTCCTGATGAATAACACCCCCAATCCTCTGCCTGGCCCTGAGTGCACGCTCTGCTTCCAGCTCATCCTTCTCACCTTCTTTCCTCTCCTCTTTGCATGCTCTTTGCTTTACCAAACTGAACCCCAGATGTTCTTGGCTCATGTGGCTTTAATACCTTTGCTCATATCCCCTGTCTTTGCCTGAAAGTATCCTCTTTCCTCCCACCGGTCTCTAAATGCTCAAAGTAGAGCCACCATTCAAAGTCCAACTCATGAAACATCCCTGGGTTCCCAGATGAAGAAACATTCTCTTTTTGTTGACCCTTCATAGGAATTTATTAGTGCCTCTCACATCATTTCATTCATTCTGTCAAATCTTGAGGGCTTACTATGCATAAGACACAGTTGTAAGCATTGTAGATGTGGCAAAGGACAAAAACTGTGGGATTTATGGAACTGAAATTCTCGCAAAGGGGACAGACCCTAAATACATAATGTTAGGTGGTGATAAGAAGATGGTAAAAAGTAAACCTGCGGTGTTCCGAGGTCTTTTTTTTTTTTTAAATGTATTTTATTGATTTTTTACAGAGAGGAAGGGAGAGGGACAGAGAGCCGGAAACATCAATGAGAGAGAAACATCGATCAGCTGCCTCCTGCACGACCCCCACTGGGGATGTGCCCGCAACCAAGGCACGTGCCCTTGACCGGAATCGAACCCAGGGACCCTTGAGTCCGCAGGCCGACGCTCTATCCACTGAGCCAAACCGGTTCTGGTGTTCCGAGGTCTTATGATGAGGTGTTATAGCATGCCACCATACTCCTTCAGGTCTTACCTAAAGTGTCATGTACTATTTTATCCAAAAAATTTTTTTACATGTACTTTCTACTAGAAAATAATAAGTAGGTAGCTTATTTGTTTTTTTAATCTCTTGTAGACCTTGCACTCTCATTTGTACATAGTAGATACTCAAGAAATACTTATTATTTAATAAAAAGAATGATTATAATAACTGAAATTATTTATGAATTGAGATCCAGAAAAGAAATTTAAAGTTGAGGAGGATAACCTTCTGAATTTGAGAACTGGGTATCCTTTGTATTTGCAGACAACTCACATGAGACCTTTTATGTTAGAGAGGTCAAATGTTGGACAATGTCATGAGCTTAAATTCCCAATCTGTCACCACATGTCTCATCTCTGTGGCTATTGGGTAATGATATGGCTCATATGGGGCTTAGGAGGAGCCATCTCATTACATTATACCTATAGTCATGTTTGCACCTGACCTTCTATAGTTCTCAACGTACAGGTGTTTATTTCCTTGGGTCTTTGCCTTCTTCCTTCTAAGAAACTTAACTTTCTTGGAAACTTCTCTGGAAAAGATGCAATCCTGTGTAGAGTTTCTGGACCAGCTGCACACAACTGCCCACGCAGTGTCATGGGTTTTCAGGTAACTACCTTGGGTGTTTTTGATCAGGATTCTGGATTTCTGGGGGCTGACAGGACAGAGCCTAAAGCAACTCACTGACAGATGGTGAATGCATTGGTCTTTGGAGCACATCACTCAGTGTCTCGGTCACATTTTTGGCTGTTGTTCTCCCAAACCTTTGTGGCAGATTAGGAACACATCTGAGATGCTTTCCTTTATGTTTCTTTCAAATCTCAGAGGCAGGGTGGCCATTGCCCCAGTGCTTGCTTCTTCCATGGGCCTCCCAGGTCGCAGGGGCAAGTTTTTGTTGACTGCAGGTGTGCTCATCTTCATGATGTGTTTTGGACCCCAAACTTTTAATTCTTTTTTTTTTTAATATATTTTATTGATTTTTTACAGAGAGGAAGGTAGAGAGATAGAGAGTTAGAAACATCGATGAGAGAGAAACATCGATCAGCTGCCTCCTGCACATGTCCCACTGGGGAGGTGCCCGCAACCCAGGTACATGCCCTTGACCGGAATCGAACCTGGGACCCTTCAGTCCGCAGGCCGACGCTCTATCCACTGAGCCAAACCGGATCCGGCAAAACTTTTAATTCTTCAAAATGGAAACTTCTTTCCTTTTTCCCTTTAAGGTTTCCTCTACGATATCATTAGAAATGAGAATTAAAATTATTTATTATTGTTATAAGCAATAGAGTTGAACCCCAAATGAACTTAAATCCAGACTTTAATCTGTAGCATTGTTAAAGCTATAACCAAAGTGTGTGTTTTCATGCACACAATAATTGAATAAATAATTTGCATTAAGTTTCTGAAAGCAATCTGGTTTCTCTGTCCCTGGACTATTGTAAGACAACTATAAAATATTAATATATAGAGTGAATACAGCAATGTGTTCAAGCAGCAGGAAGAAAATGAGGCATTGAAATGAGACACATGTTTATTTTACTTCAGTTATTCTTTTTCGGCTTTGGATTCATGTTGTTTATGGAGTATTTCATATATTTCTATATTTTGATTTTAGAGAAACCTCCCATTGCCTCTCCGTGTCTCTTGTTTCCCCTTTGTGAAGGCCACAGTGGTGGACACATGGGCACAGCGATGTTAGCCTGGTTTCGAGGTGCAGGTGGGGGAGGCTCCTCTGCATTTCTTTCCACCGGTTCATATTCAGAGTTCCAGTCCAAAAGCATTTCTCAAGAAACAGATGGTATTTTTATTAGTATATAAATTATATTTTTTAGTAAAGCACCAGTTAGTTTGTGGGTTATTGCCCCAGTAAGATGCCAACTTTAAAGAAACCATTTAAAATACAGCAACTGTATAATTAGATTTATTTAATCATGAAAGTTTGTCCATATAAAGATTTTTAAATGATTGTTTTCTGATTGTAGCAAGTAATATATACTCATTTCAGCAAATTTGGAAAATATCTAAGAGCATAAGGAAGAAAATAAAAATAACTTGCAAATCCACCATGTAGGGATACATATTTTAGTTAGATTTACCACAAACTTTTATTTGTTTGCTAAGTAGAAAATAGCAATGTCATATTGTTTTGTTTGTGGTTGCAGACAGTTCAAATGTCCAGCTGAAATGTATCCAGATCTTATTTTTGCAACTGTTTATCACAACTGTGTACTTCTGAGTCCACTGAAAATTATTAATGCACCCTGTGCTTGCTAAGTTGATACTGTACTTACACAGTAATTGAAGAAGCCAGGCTGTTTGCTGTTGCGTTAAACAACCCGAGTTGTAAGGAATCCGCTGTCATGGGAATGCCGAAATTAGACTGAAAGCAAAGCACAAATGAACTCTTCCTTTTCTTCACAGAACCATCAAATATATAGTTAGTGCTAGTCATGATAGACAGAGTTAAAGAGCTTACTTCAGAACATTTGTCATCATTTTCTTTGCTGTGAAGATTGCACATCATTAATTCATCTGCATGAAGATGTTTGATGTTAACAAGCTTGAAGTGGCTAAAGTCAATAAAATGAATCGTTTTGATGAAATAACTTCCATTTTGTCCTAAATCTAGAATTAAGTTTATCGGTGCAGCAAGATGTCTGATGTCTACAAGAAGGGAAACTGTGGGCTTTTTATACTGTCTAAAAACAGAGGCAAGTTTGCTTTACCATGGAAATCAATCCCACATGTTTTAAGTACTAACATTAATTAGAGTGTTTAACTAAAATATGTATGTAAGGAATGTGGGTAACTATTCTGGAAGACAGCAATGTTTCTGCTTGCAGATTCATTAACTTTGAAAATAATTTTCCTCATTAAAAAGGAGCTTCTAATGAGGTAAGTTTGGGGCCATACTAATTAAGATCCTGAACAAACAGAATGCTTTATTTCTCTGAGCTCAAACAAAAAAATATATTGGTGTTTGCGTCAATTCCTGAGAGAAGGAAAAAATAATATTCAATACATGCTAGCCACGTTAAATTTTTTTTTTATCCACACAAAAGAATTAGGCATACTATTTTCAAAATGTCAAGCAAAATTAAGAAAGTGAAAATAGGGGCTGGGTGAAAAGGGGGAAGGGATAAAAAAAGAATGTGAAAGTAATTCTAAGTCTCATAATACCCAAATAAAATGCCATTAATTAACTTTTTGCAAAATGCTGTTTGGTTATTAAAAAGCTTCGGAGTAAATGTCAGCTGTAGCGTGAAGGGTGTGCATAAGACCATGTGATAGGCATTTTGACAAACTGGCTGTCTCTGGAGAAGCTGGAGGCAGTTCAAGGCCTTTTTGTATTTGCCCTGTGGGCCTTATTTGGCAAAACTGTATAAATCATCGGGACTTTATTTTTATGAGATGCTGCATCCTACCTTCATCCTCAAAGCCCTTAAGGACCCCAGCAGAGGTTTGGTAAGTCACACACACGCTGATTTTGTGGTTCCCCTGGCCCATATTATTTAAGTAATCTCACATTGCCACAGGCACACAGACATCATGGCAAAAGAAAAGAATTTGCAGAACTAAATGCTTATGTACTGAAATGCCAAAGAGAGTCTCTTTTGGAGCAGGTGCCTGGTATTCTTAAAAGACCCACCTATCTCTAGACTGCCTAGGTTCTAGGGCAATGATGGCGAACCTTTTGAGCTCGACGTGTCAGCATTTTGAAAAACCCTAACTTAACTCGGTGCCATGTCACATATAGAAATTTTTTGATATTTGCAACAATAGTAAAACAAAGACTTATATTTTTGATATTTATTTTATATATTTAAATGCCATTTAACAAAGAAAAATCAACCAAAAAAATGAGTTCGCGTGTCATAGGTTCACCATCACTGTTCTAGGGAAATCATTACTTGTTCCTACCTGTCCATTGAACCCTTTCAGGAGAAAAAGACAGATTCCCAACACTCTAGCTACTTCTAGACATAGACACTAAGAGGTGGATTAACAAAAGAAAAATCATAAAATTGCCCTTTTTGTGTCAAGAATTGTACCACTTTAGCTTCTCTCACCAACCTATCACAGTCTGAGGTGTGAGATGGGCAGGAGTGAAGCCCTTTCTTTCTTTTTTTAAATAAGTTTTTATTGATTTCAGAGAGGAAGAGAGAGGTAGAGAGATAGGAACATCAATGATGAGAGAGAATCATTGATCAGCTGCCTCCTGCAGCGGGATGCAGGCTCGATCCACATCGGGGAGTGGGGGAGCCCACAACCCGAGCGTGTGCCCTGACGGGAATTGAACCGCAACCTCCTGGTTCATAGGTTGGTGCTCAACTACTGAGCCTGCTGGCGGCTGAAGCCCTTTCTTTGTAACGTAGGTCCTGAGAATAAACCAGAAAGTGGAAAACAACAGTGGGCAAACTCTCAGGTACCCCACGTCACACTTGCCCACGACCTCTCTTAAGGCAGTTGACTGCATTGGCCTCATTTGTTTTGGTCTGTGGTAGCCAAGGATCCCCACAGTAAGAGGCAATTAATTCAATTCATAGTCGAATGTTAATTTTGTAAAGCCGTTAGTGGTTTATTTGGGTTTAATTTCCCTGAGGATTTAATACATTTCTCTTCCAAATTGTTTCTTTGAAAACTGCTGATGAACTTCCTTTTTTTTTTTTTTGTGGTCAGTAGATCCAAACTTGAGAAATGGGAGAAGCAAGGAGCAAGTTATGTTGGTCAAGTTCACACTCTGGAAAAAGTAGAAGCAATGGCTTGAGTCTCTTTCAAAATATGTTTGTCTCTAGTTGTTTCAAACTTTAGCAGTTCACCAGTTTTCAGTGCTGCTACTTAGGGTCCTGGCACATCCACCCTTTGTCCAAGCCAAAATCCTTTGTAAGACCCTTGACTGTTTCCTCCTCTTTTCTGCCACTTCCCATTCTATAGCTAATGAAACTTATTTCTAGTTTTGAGCTATTACAGCCAATAGATAACATTTTTTTGAGCACCTATCATGTGCCACGAACTGTTCTAAGTACTTTGTGAATTATCTTATCTTTCATACAAATCCCATGAGCAGGTCCTGTTATTATTGTTCCTACACCACAGAAAGCGAGACTAAGGTGCAGGAGGGTTAACTTTCTCGCTAAGTGGCAAAGTCAGGATTTGAACCCGAGCTGTCTGAGCACTCACTGTGTTAGTTTGCCCAACCAAGTCTGGTCTCTCCTAACCTCTAAATAGCTCTTACATGTGTTCATGTCTCTCTATTTTTCCTGCCATTACTCACTCACCATTTTCTCCTGACTAGAACTTTTTCTTGGTCCTCTCCAATTCTTCCTCCACAGTGCAATCAGAAGAAATTTAAAACATACAATACCATATATTTGATTTCTTCTTTAATACCTTCCTATGATTTCCCATTTCTCTGACAATCTTTAGAGAGCCCGCTTGTCATTTCTGGCACTCTTATTTCTCCCGCATTCTCTCTCTCCACTCCCTACAAACTCTGCTTTATGACCAACTTCTTTCTGTTCTTCCAAGTAAGTGGATGTGCTTTCTCATGCCTCCAGGCCTCTGTTCATGATTTTCCTGTGGAATATTCGTCCACTTCTTCCACCTTTTCACTGTCTGGGTCTCAGCGGAGGCATCACATGTCTGAGAAGTCCCTCCTGACGACCAGCTCCAATAAATGGCTTTGTTCTTCCCCAGCCGCGCCTCTGCTCACTCTCACGTGTCTTGCTTCCTTGTTTCCCCTCCGCTGCTCTGGAAATTATGAAGGCAGGACCCAGCTTGTGCAGATCCCAGTGGCATTTCCACTGGGATCTCAGGACATTTCATTTCTAAGCGAATGAATACATTTTTCATTAGTTTTGGAAATCGGAGTTAAAACTGAAGTTGCTTGTTAATTAATTTTCCCAGCTTTGGCTGTCGACCAGAGTCTTCTCTCTGCTGTGACTTATACATTATTGGAGCTTAAGTTTATTGGCTTATCCTGAAATCATAACATGTTAACATCTCAGGCTTTCCAGGTCAGAGACCCATATAGGAATAGTCAGATATAAGCCGGTTGAATGTGAGTTTAGGTTTATTCTGTTATAGTGCAACTTACAACTTATTAGGTTCAATATGTTATGTTGGATCTTGCCATGTCGAAGGCCCCAAACACCAGGAAGGGTCTGAAAAGAGACTACACAGCCCCATGGAGGGCTTTCTGACAATGCTTTGGGGTCTCCCACCAGGCAGCCTTCATAGGCCTACGGGCTCCTCTGGCTGAGGTGAGAAGGGGCTCTCTGAATCCTTATTATTTTTCCATGCCCACTAGCTGCACCCTAACCTCTGGCAGGCAGTTAGAGCGGGGAACGCATCATTTCTACCAATTGGGAGCCGGACTTACTGGAGTTGGGTTTAGGATTTTTTAAGGCTCCAGTAAAATATTTAAGATTAGAAGTTTTTTGCCATGGGCTGCAAGTTTTTATTTAAATCTGTATGTAAGGAGACATATGTACTACTATTTGTAATACCTTAAACAATAAAATAAAAAAAAATAAAAAAAAATAAGTAAATAAATAAATCTTTATGTAGATGGGCCAGCTCACTCCACACATTTATCTATGTCCCCTGAGTCCACGTGAGATTTACCAGGGAGGTGGTGAATTTTAATATCCCGAGGAACCTCATTAGAGAACCCTTCTCCTCACCCTCGACCCAGAAGATTACTTCCAGGGCGTTTGCCTTTTTACACTGTTTATGTCTTCCTTCCCATCTAAGCATAATCCCATTGTGCTGTGCGGAAGAATTTATGACATTATAGTTTTATTTTGCATTTCATGATTGCAAAGTATTTTGCAGCCATTTGTTAACTAATTTCAGGCCCTCTTTAGAGGGTGGGTGGTGGAATGACTGTATAATTCATTTCAGCATTATGTATGCACAGAGAAAGACATACCTGCCTTGGTTTCAAAGAAAATCATCATATGCAAATGGCATAAAATTGCTGTTTTAAAAATGCGTGGTGGTGCCTTTGTTTTGAGATTTATGAGTGGCTTGTTCTAATGAGCTTGTCACATTTGAATGCAGCTGTGTATTTACTTCTCTGCCTTTTATTATGACAGATGCCAGCACCAGGGCCTTGGAGCTGCCGACGCGAAAGGGAGACAGAGATTATTCCTCCATGTCCTCAATGCGGTTGAAATTCAATTCTAGTTGAAGTAACTTAAAGAATCAATTTGTACAATACGAGAATAAACATGAAATATTTATAAAAATTAACTCACAGGATTTATTCTAGAAGGTTGTTTAAATGGCAAGGTCCCTATGTCTAAAGGGCATAGATCAGAACAACATATTGAACAAACGCAGCCTCGGTGTTAGATCTTGCAAACCGCGTGCAGTGGTAACGTTACAGAAAATGTTAAAGCGCTTGTGCGAGGCTGTTTAGGAAGCAGCCGCTCTACAGCACAGCTTTCCAATTCCAGCTTTTACACTTTTTAATGTTCATTTTTATTGACATTTTTTTCCTTGCAGGAAAAATGTGTGATTTTTACTGGCCTGGCAGGAGGTTGTGGTACCTCTTGCCAAAGTGTCAGGTAAACTCGGAATTCTCTACATGAGGGACAAAGACCACA